TACACTTTTTTTCAAATCAAAATAGTGCAAAAGCACATGTCGAAAAAACACTTTATCGCGTTCCATTTTTCACAAAGCAAAAGAAATTGTTGTTTAGGAAAATAATTGTGTATGCTGACTGAATGTTATCGAGAAATGTCGAAATTAATCACAAACTACCTGTTTCGTTAGTAATGACTACTAGAACTGTTTGCATTGCCATCTAACATTTGCGGGCGGAAACTAAGTTAAGGTCCTAATATATATCGTACACTTATTGTATGTATTATAACTCATAATTTATCGAGTCATTTATTTATATAAAACAATTTCGTCATATGTACAAATAATGCGATAACACAGTGAATAAAATGATACAAATGTACGATATTTGTCGCAAAAAGTGATTATCTTATGTTACATAAAATACAAGTAGTTTTACATCCGAAGATAAAATTACGAAGATAAAAGAGAGAGAGAGAGAGAGAGAGAGAAATATTTGAACGTATTTGAAAATATTTTATTCAGAAATTATCGACTCTTGCTCTTTTCTTTGAGTGTTCGTCGGTTAGAGTTTGTCAGATAGAGCCAGATACAACATACTACAAGTTGTATATACATTAGATCGCTGAGTGATGAACTATAATTGGCCACTTGACTCGTGTAACGTAACCCGGGAGGTCTGACGCAAGGCGAACATATATACTATCGCGTAAGCCGTATCGTCAGTTGCACGTAGCGATTCTAGATTGCGATATCGCAGGCACGTATCGAATTCCTACGATCTTCAAGTGACTTGTTAAATAATTGATATTGGCAAGAACTTGTGATTTATCATGGTGTTCTGGACGATACTGTTATCTTTCGTGATAGGAGCTCTTGGGACCTATTATCTCTTCAAACATTTTAATTTTTTTCGAAGACACGGTCTCTTTCATGTACCGTCTGTTCCGATATTAGGATCCATGATACCGGTTATATTTCGCCAAGTGTCATTCACCGATTTCCTTATAAACATGTACAATTTTAAGGACGTCAAATACTTGGGATTCTACGCCATGACGCAACCTATGATCCTGCTTCGTGATCCGGAGCTTGTTAAAGAGATTCTCATCAAGAAATTCGACTCATTTCCAGATCGCCGTGGCTTTATCGAAATCAACGATCCCTTGTCAGCAAAGAATTTGTTCTCCCTTCAGGGTCAAAAATGGAAAGACGTGAGAACTTTATTGAGTCCAGCTTTCACGTCCAGCAAGATGAAGACTATGTTCGTGCTGATGTCGGAATGCGCTGTAGACTTTACTCGGTTTCTATCGGAAACAGATACAAGTGACATAGATATGAAAGACATCTTCAACAAATTCACGAACGACGTTATTGCAACGTGTGCATTCGGGATTAAAATAGATTCCATGAAAAATCCGACAAACAAGTTCTTCATTTACGGCAAAGAAGTCACGTCCTTCCAAGGAATTCGAGCCGTTAAGTTCCTCACTTTCAAGACATTTCCGAAACTCGCACGACTTCTCGGCTTGAAGTTGATAAGCGACGATATCGTGAATTTTTTTAGGGAGATTGTACAAACCACAATCGCAACTCGTGACGCCGAGAATATTACGCGTCCGGACATGATACAACTGATGATGGACATCAGAGGTAAACGCGAGACCGAGAGGGAACTGAGTATCGACGACATGACAGCACAAGCATTCATTTTCTTCTTTGGTGGTTTCGACAGCACTGCAACTGTGATGTCATTCGCAGCTCACGAGATCGCGACTAATCCGGACGTCCAAACGAAGCTGCGGCTGGAGATCGACGAAGTTCTGAAGGAGTCCAACGGGAAAGTGACTTATGAAGCCCTTAATCGGCTCAAGTATTTGGACGCGGTAGTAAACGAAGTTCTGAGGTTGTATCCGGCACCTTTCATAGAGAGAGTATGCGGCAAAGATTATGAACTGCCTCCCGCGTACCCGGGAGGGAAGCCCTTCACTCTGAAGAAAGATATGATTGTCTGGGTCCCGGTCTACGGAATTCATCGTGATGAGAAGTATTACGATGATCCGCAAAAATTTCGCCCGGAGAGATTCTTGGACAATAACGTTTACCACAACTCTCCGTGTTACATACCATTTGGTTCAGGGCCGCGTATTTGCATAGCTAATAGGTTTGGCTTGCTGGAAGTGAAGATCTTATTGTTTCATCTATTAGCGCGATGCGAGCTGAAACCTTGTGCTAAAACTTCGTTGCCGTTAAAATTTAGCAAGAAAAACTTGGCAATAATACCGGAAGGCGGATTCTGGTTAAATGTTAAACGGAGGAGCGATATACATCCTATGATCGATGTTGATTTAAGCATGTCTAGCGATGCGACTAATTCTTGAAGATATTTAAGATCGCTGAAAATGAATTGAATTAAGTTTAACTATTGTTAGACATTTTTTTAAAAGTTTTGTATGTTGTGTTTCATATATTTCAATTAATTTTGATTTATCGTCACATTCTTGATAAAATTATATATTATTTTGTATAATTATTACAGCAAAGGGAGAGGTGTTTATAATTATTTGTCTACAAAGGAGTTTTAAAATTTTATTGCAACAAAATGTTACAAGAAAAACATGCAACTCTCTTATTATTAAGTCTACTTGAATATTATAGATGTTTACATTAAGCTTTATTACGTCGTCACAATGTAATTTCATTAAGTGATACGCAATTTTTTTTATTTAACGCGCTTCTATTAATTCTTTATACTCTATGTGACAATCTGATTAGCTTTAAGAGTTTTGGCGCTATTCCATACGTGCAAATTCTGGTAATAATAAAATGGTATGAAATTTAAATTTAAATCAAATTATAGACTATGACTGACTGTTAACAAATGGATTTTCACTTAATTTGATGATATTTATGTTTAAACAACGTGCAAAAATCTGCAGAATGCATATCAATTGTTTGTTGCGGTTTTGAAAGTGTTAAATACATGGCGTTGCGTTTAATTATCCATTTGCAATATATTTCTATAATTTATTGCAACAGAAATCTTCTGATAGAAGTTACGACTTAACAGTTTAGGAATAAGTAACGAAATAAGTAACGAAGTAAGCATTCTAAAAACGAAGTATTCTAAAGGAATAAGGTTCAGATGTTTCAGTTTAGTTTTGTAGAATACGGCTCATATTATTGTTTCAAATTTTTTTGTTACAAGTTTTTGTGTGAATTTTATACGTTCTGTTCGTACATTTAAATACATACATACATCGTGAGATTAAAATCGTCAGGTGACAAGAAAGAATTATAATAAAACAATATTGTTTATTATACATAAGAGAAACATCCATTGCTTCAATTGAAGTAAGTATACATTCTCTTCCAAATTCATAGTAATCCTTGCATTTCCTGCATAAACTGCATATATGCGTCGTCTTTCGTTTTGGGTTGCGAAGTTCTGGGCGGCTGTGTCTCCGGTAATCTTTCTGTAATTCTGGAGATACTGCTGGACTTCTTTTTATCGTCTCTCTTTACGCGCAAGGACGTCGGCAAGAATCTAGTAACGTCTGCGGCCAAATTTCTAATTTGCGGTTTTGCCTCTATAGTGGTGCTGCTCTTTCCGTCTTTGTCTTTCCTGTTAATTAATTGCGGAGCGGCGGAAAGAACGTTGGGAGTCTTCGGTTGTGCGACCGATCCGGGTTGCGCTTGCAGCTGGGGATTCGTTATATTCGACATATTTGACATTTGCATTTGTGGCGGTGGCATTCTCGGTATGCTGGGCGGGCCGGGTCTCAATATTCTCGGCATTCCAGGAGGAGGACCTATGGAAGAAGCAAGAAAGAATATCTTATATCCCACACGCAAATAAACGCTTTCACACTTAATTCCGTCGAATGTTACAAATGAAGAATTACGTAAGAGTGAATTTTAATGCGTAAGCAAGTGACAATTACCAGGCGGCAATCGGAGGCCAATGCGAGGCGGTGGCGGTGGTGGCATTCTAATGTGTAACGGAGGCGGAGGTGGCCTGTAGAGCAAAGGTGGAGGTGGAAGACCCATCGGTGGCATTGCGTGTTGCTGTGTGTGTTGCGTGTGTGGGTGAGATGTGTGTTGACCGTGACTAGAGAGATGATCCGATGCTCCAGGTGGTTCCAGCTCTTCATCGTCTGCCTTTTTGTTGGACTTGCTACTACTCTTTGGCTTGGAGTTGGATTCGCTTTCCGTCTCAAGCAACGACAATCGCGCGTTCAAGTCTTGGGCGCGTTCGGTCTCTCTTTTTTTATGAACAACCTCCATCTCTCGCATAAACTGATCGATATCTTGTCCAGCCATCGCCAACATCTTTTGCTGCAACGTCGTTGGCTTGACTTTCGCTATATCCCTATCTTTTTCTTTCTCCTTTTCTATGTCCTTTTCTTTGTTTCCCGATTCTTGCTTGTCCTCCTTATCGTCAGCGAATCTTATCGTTCTCGATTTTGCTGGTGGCTCTTTGATCTGTCAATTAAGCAAACGTTAAAATTACTTATTTATAATTTACATACACGAATAATTATATGAATATATGTATGAAATATAAAGCACTAGCAATATTAATCGTAAAATAAACTAGGAGTCTATATATATACAATATTTCGAGAATTTGGGCTCTAAAATAAAAGATAATATTATATAAGTATAAAATATTAATATATATACAATAATATTATTATACTAACGTTCTAATAATGTTAGTAGTAATATCTTTATTTCATAGATAATAACAATTATTAATATTAATAAACATAAATTAAAGGACTATAGAAACCAATTGCAGATCTTAGTTGCACTTTATTATTAAAAACACATGTGGTACCAACTCTTGTATTTAATTTTTAACGCTCAGAACTTTTTGAATATCTCTTTTAATCATCCTCAGCCGAAATTATATAACTTTTTATGAATAATTATCTTGAAAAAGTCTCATCCTTAATTAACATACTTGTAAATTACAAGGAACAAGTTGTTGACTTAATCATCTCACATTTTGTAAGTGGTCGCATTCCCAATTATATCATAAAAGTCATCACTATTGGTAAGTAGTATATTGATCACAATCTAAATAGATCAGTAGTTATGTGGAGATAACATCGAGATGTAAACTAATTATGACCTACTAATTATATTTAATGTAAGACCTAATTTAATTTAGTTTAGTTATATCGTAAGAGCTATTATTATTGATAAACAGTAGTGGATGTCAATCAACTTAAATCAACCGATAATCATGTGGAGATAAACGTCGAGATATAAATTAAATTGAAAGCATTAAAAATTAGGTACAAGAGTTAGTATCACATACGTTTTTAAGAATAAAATGTAACTAAGATTCGCAATTGGCTTTTATAGATCTTTATTTACGTTTATTTACGTTTATTTGATGTTAGTTATATAGAGCTCTTATTATATTTATTTGATTATTAATATTTTATAGCTTATAATTTTTATTATTTTCTAATTCGATTTATTTGATTTACTTACGTTTTCGGCTGTGTTCTCGTCGTCGCTTAATAGATCAGGCGGTGGGAATGGTGGTACACCAGGCGGCTCCTTATTGGGTGCTAATGTAGGTACAACAGGAGCATTTGCGTATGCACTGGTCTTCTTCAAGATACTCGGTGGTATTGGAATATTCATTAATGGATGGTGCTGTGATATATAGTGAGGATGAGGTGGATACATATGCGCAGGTGGTTGCGGCATGTCCGGCAGCGGGATCTGCGAAGTCAAGGAGCCTGTCAGGGAAAGAAGGAGAGCTTGCATTAATTATAATTATAAATTTATATTTATATTTATTAATAATTATAATATAAAGCTATTATATTAGTTTAATTATATTAGTTTAAATTATATTAGTTTCACTATAATACCTGACTATGTCACTTACTTTGATACATTCTCGATATATCGTTGGCTGCTGATGGCAATGGAATCTCATCAACTTGCACTTGCTGTGCATGTCGTACAGCTTCAAAATAAGACACTAAGTCTATCCTTCTACGTTCATATTGAATTAATTGTTCTTTCAACTCTGCCCACTTCTCTTGATCATCTTTAGCCTAAAAAGGGAGACGAGATTATATGATGCTAAACAGTTGAAATTTTTTGTCCCATTTTCACTCATACACATTTTTTCAATTTCTCTTCGACATCATAAGCTTACCAATATTGGAGGAAACTTAAAATTATAAACTACTTATATACTTACATACATTTTTAGGACTCGCTCTAGAGTCTCCTTAAGTTTCTTTCGTTTATCCTTTAATACTTTTTCATTCAGAGGTGGTGGCTGCATTACGTTGTATTCTAAAAGACAAAATACAAAGATATACTATAATAATGGATAAAGATTCATAATAAAGAATATAGAATATAATTACATTAATCAGATTAAAATTGCACGTCTGCTTTCTAATATTGTTATATATAGACTGACAGATTTTCAAACTTTGAAAAATATCAACAAATTTGTTACATTAGATATATCCTTTATAGACATATTAAGTCACTGGATCTATATTTAAAATAAAATAGGTATGCATATGACATTAGATGGAAGAATAAAGAGAAAGAACACAAGTATTGCAGAAGAATACAAGCTGTGAAAGCACAACTATGAAGTGCAGATATATTGTTATTTTAACTTCTAAAACTATCTTTTTTGTACCAGAAGATATTAAATAAGTAATATTTCATTGAAATCTATTATGTATATGTGAGATATTCTAGATATTCTAAGTATTTACCACAAATATTATCTAAAGTCATAACTCATGCACTAACCCATTTGATCGATCTTTTCCATTTCTTCAATAATTTGCACCGGATCTTTCCCTTTTAACACAGCAGCTCTGACTAATTGTCTTTGTTTTTTATTCTTTTTTAACTCCTTTTTACGTGCCTCTTTCCCTGTAAAACGAGACAAGTGTTTCTTGAATGTATATTCTTGCGACAGATGTATGGTTATGTTGTCCGTATACAATACTCACGTGCTTGATCAGTAGGATTCATATATTTCCCACTTTTTGTGGTATTTATCGAACGACGTCCCATCTTTGCGTTATATTTTTGTGTAAATCAAGTTCACGAGAACACCACAATTTTGTCAATTACACTGAAACTCCCTGAAACCTATCATTCTACAACGTTATTTATGTTAGCCTCGAAGAGATTAGCGCCAATCTCTTTTCTCTCTCTCTCTCTCTTCTTGCCTCCCTCTCTTTCTCTTTCTCTTTTCAACACTGATCTGGGCGTCTAAGAACAGAGTCCATTTGACGCTGCATATGCTCCGGAGCATCAAATACGTGAATGTGATTGGTCTATCCATCGCTCTGGAGCACTTGCAGCGCTAAGTGAAACCTGTGGTCTGTTCTTTTCAGCTGCACTGCTGAACTGGTGCAATAAGTTAGAGTAAGAAAAAATATACTTATCTCACTTTAACTTGTTGCACCAGTTCAGCAGTGCAGCTGAACAGACCATTGGTCTAAAGGTACATTTGCAGAATGAGCTAACAACGTTACCGTGTCATTCTATCTTTGTCGTTCCTTAAATGAATATACAACAAAGATAAAATTATTCATTAGCGCTTTTAGGGAGTATAGATATATAAGTCTGTGGCTTTTCTCCTTGAAATTTTCAACAAAGAATTTAAAAGATATTTGAATAGGGGGGGAGGGTACTAGATTTGTAATAAATGTATCATTTATAATTTCGAAGAATTATACTATTATTTTGTTACATTCAAAAAAGCTTGAATAGACTCATTAAATAAATGTTTTTGTTTGAACAAAAATTTAGCATAATCAATATTGAATGTAAAGAACAATAAGAGTTAAAACACAGGTCTAATAGTGCTATTAAAACTATAAAAAAAATAGTGACCCAATCTCACGATGAGAAGAAATTTATTAATCATCAAACGCGTTTCGGTCTAACTTCACAGACCATCTTCAGTGATTACAAATAAAAAACGAATTATATTTAAATGTCACAAACATAAGGTCGCAATAATCGATATAACAAAGGTTGTTGTTACAAAAGTTGTCGCTACAAATTTTACTTACGGGAATCGAAAGAACCAACGCAAATAAATACAAATAGTCATTATGACAAAGAAAATCTCCCCCTGGAAGACCGAAGGTATTAGTCAATAAAGGGACGTCTACATTGGAAGTAAGCAGTAAGAAGTAGGAAGTAAGAATAAAAAATTGACCAATCATAGTTGATTATTCTTCTCATATTCGACTGTGGTTGGTCAATTTCTTACTCTTACTTCCTACTTCTTGCTATTTACTTCCAATGTAGACGTCCCTTAACTTGTTATAAGCTTGGTCACTCCATCGCACGTACTAAAGTGCTGTGGTGTAATTATCTAAAAAACGTATTAAGATAGAGTAACCAAACTAAGTATGAAGAAAAACAATGATAAATACCTCAATAATAGATAGTAGAGTTTCAGGGAGATGTCAAGCTAATAAACGTGTACCTCCGAATGCCGCAAGCAGCACAGAATTATGTTTATATTTACTTGGTACAAATTGCAAACGAAAAACAATTCAAGTCAAACCAAGCAAAGTATTATAACACTTTCCCAAATTCTCAGTATCAGTCTGAGAATTTAGTCCGTGTGCCTGCATTTTAATAAAAATCATCTCCGCAAACATCCTTTTATAAAATAGTCGTTCTTTATGTAAAATTTTGACA